ACCTGACTTTGAGGGCATGATTTCAATTAGCTGGTTTGTAGGTTTTTACTGCTTTGCTGGAACATGGAGTTTTGTTATGAAAGAAATTTAATCTGCTCAGAGTATAGGACTTTAGAGATCAAATTCTAACATGTCAGAAATAACTCAGGCAATGAGAGTTTAGTCATGTTTCCAGTATCACTTGATGAAAGAGAAAACCTACAGTTGCACAAGTAGCACACCAATCACCCACTTTGCAAGACTACCAATTAAATTTGAATATACCGTGTCCTAACAGGCATGTGCACATAGTGGCTTGCTCTAGTGGGCCAACACAACGTTTATGCACATCAATGCTACAGTAATCACTTCTTCTTCCTCTTAATACCTGCCCATAGCACAAGTGTATAACTTACTGCAAACAAATGGAAGCTGATACTGGAAATGTCTAAGCCTGAGAGTAGAGAATACAACAGCTTGAATTTGTTTAAAATTCAAAATCTTGCACTCACTGTGAGTTAATGTGAATTCATACATTCCATAAGATGCACAGACCTACAAGCTTGCAGCAAGCTATATGAACAATTATTTTGGTTTCTCTAAGGAAGTATGGAAAGGAAAAGAGCTCTTTCATTATTCATCAAAGACTGCACCTTTGCACTGGACTAGAAAACTAACTGCATGATGTGGAAAAATAAATTTGTTATTATTCATCACTCTCAGAAGATTGCACCTTCATATGAATGCTAGAAAGCACTTGGGCTATGTCTACATGGCTCTATCTCCAAGATTACATATCCACTGCAGTGCCTTGTGCTGATATATCCCCACACGGACTCGATCCAAGCATATACCAGCTTAGTCACATCCTACAGAGAGAAAATGCCAAAGCACACAGACCAACAGGAACTGCAGTGTATGTCCATGATTTTGTGCTAAGCCAAACTCCATGAAGATGGTGATAGTTCTACGGATTTGTCACAAATAAAAAGCAAGGGAGAAATTTATATAGAAGTCAGTGTATGTTTTACCAATCATCATAAAGCAACTCTAAAATACTCATAATATTGCCTGATTATAAATCTATGACCCATTACCTTTGACATAATTATAAGTTATAGAATATTTTCTGTACTTATTTTACAGAAATTCTTTCAGAATGCCACTTCTTCATTCCAGCTTACATACCATAGCCTACAGCCCTGTATACTCACCAGGGTTCCCCTTCTGACTACTCAGCAAATACAAGTAACTTGCATCTCCAATACATATTACAATAAACTAAAAAATTGAAACCTGATGCAAATATATTGGTGTTACATAGCTTTAGTCTGAAGTTATATTCAGATCTATGGGAGCTTGGCTTAAAGTACAGATTTGAGATACTATCCAGTATACATTATTTCAGTTTCGTTAGACATAAATTACACAAGTCTACAAGGATAACAAGGGTATAAAAGCTTAAGATGCACAACACGTCCTCAAAAAGCCCATTCCTATTTAAATAATTTATAAATCACTAGGTAAAGATCACGACACTCTTAGCACAACAGGCTAGATAAGTTACAAGCTTTGCTGTGTGATCTGCTCCTCCAGTCTGTGAAGGCACTTAGGGTTACATTTAATTCAGAGAAAAACACACGATGATCTATAGGCAGGTATGAAATCCTGGGATCTCTTCCTGTTGTGAATGCTGTACATCATTAAAAAGTTTGCATCTGAGTCCAATTAAAACAATTAACTGAATTCATAAATATGATCAGGTTTAGAGAAATAAGTTATGTAAAAAATACTTTGTCTACCATTCAGTCTGGTTAGATGGTTTTTGGTGTGAAAGAAACTGTGAATAGAGAAGACACTCTTCTTAAGCTAACAATACACACTCGCATAAATCAGCAACCTTTTTTTACTTATGTGCAGATCAGATATACAGAAAAACACTAAGATGGTAGGGATGCTTTTGCTCCCTAAGAAATCAGAGGTAAGGCAACTTTTTACACCAAATATAAAAGGACTGGTTTCCTTAACAGAAAAATTATTTACATCCAGGTGTAACCAGGATGTACAGCTGCTCACCATTGATCCTCTCTCTTTCCTGCAAAAATAAAATATTCTTGATAGAGAACAGTGTTCTGAACTTTTCTGTTCCTGCTCCTCCTTACCTTTGTGCTTGTAATTTAATCTATAAATATAGTCCCATGTATTTGATTTTTAATTTTTGATTTTTGATATTTCTGATCTTTGGGTTTTGTGGCTAGTAACGACACTTTGAAGCTGCATGCCTGAAGCACTGGTATTCCCAGCCCACAGCACCCTACACAACAACAACATTTTTCCTGAAATACTTTGGCAGTTCTTCATTTTTATAGTGCTCTTATTCTAGATCTTAGTAGTTCCAGTTCGACATATGACCTGGGGAACAATATGAATAACATATAAAAAATGCATTATTTCTGTAGATGATGTATTTTGCTATTTCCATTTAGAACTCCATTCTGTTTTTCAAATAATTATATTGTATAATCCATATTACAGGCCATTTTAATTGCCTTTGCTGATGCTCACCTAAAATTCTAAAGCATACTAGTTTTAGAACTGTCTTCCTGCTGAAAATATATTCATTAATGAAAACATACTGAAACTATATGTATTATTTAATAAAAACACATGGTATCCTATACAGAATTGACTCAATAAATGATCTTGTATTTACAGAACTCACACCTAGGGTAGAAAATGCTACATGATGTACACTGATACATTATCTATAGAAAATAAATACTCTGGAAATAGAAATGTGTAAATTAATCAAACAGGTTTTATCTAATAATATTTGCATTCCTATAGTACTTTTCCCATACGGCTTTAACTCTGTTTTTTAGATGGGAGAACAGAATAAAATGTGTTAAGTGTACTTCCTATGATCACAAAGCAGAGCATTGCAGAGACCAGGAGAAAAAACTACAATCACTCATGTTGTGGGTTTGTCCTACATACAGACTGCCTTCTGGGAAAGGATAAGGCATAAATCTTAAAAGCAGTTGGAACTGATTCTTTCCACTCAACAAATCAGTGCTACTAGTTTACTCCAAATATCAAAAAGTGAAGAAAAAGGTTTATCTTAATAGCGCTAATGAAATTCCCATTACAGAAATGGTCAGCGTAATAATTTCCATACAAAATAATGGCAGACAAGATTTATAAATTTAATGCCTCATACGTTTCCTAAACCCATCATCCACTTCCCAAGGCTATGCACTTCATCAGACATGAACGCCTGAATTTTAGTTTACAATTTAGACCTCATCATGTATTGCATTTACAAAAACAGAAATGACAGGATCACCTATCTAAACTGGGGCTCATCCTCTCCTTCTTCACATCCGGTCACTGTCAGCTCTGCCTCTATTTGGTTTCTATATGGCTAGATTACCACCAACAGTTCTGCTTGTACATTTAGAGTACTTTCATCATTTATACCCATTATTTAACCTCTAAGAGGTTAATCTTAAGTCACATGTTACAGAGATGGAATTAATAGCTATGGTAGGGTCTAGACCAAAAGTTTCGTTAAGTTGTTTCAGTTTGTTGCTTAGACTGTTAAGGAGCACCTAATTAGAGGTGGAGCCCTACAATACTAGGAGGTTACCAGGAAATGGAAGAAAATACGAGAACGGTAGAGGTAGGTTCCTTCTATGTGTACAAAAGCTTTTCTTCACAACAGAGCCCCAAATGGCACCACCTGTCAAAGGGTGGCTCGTGATGCTCAGTAAAGTACCATACACCACATAAGCTTTGTTTGAATCGCATGGTGTATTTATGGTCTAAATTTTTGTTAATGATTTTCCTAGACTACAGGAGACCCAGTGAGCACTCAGAAACCAAATGACTTCTGAAGTAATCCAGGAATTGGTGAAGGTAGGAATAGAGCAAAAGGGCGCTCAAACCACCCACCACCCAACTCGACGCTGCGACACTTTTGGCTGCAGGACCCAAGGGAAAGCACTCCAAAGAATTTTAAATTTTTAAAAAAAAAAAAAAAAAAAAAAGAAAGAAAGAATTTGCCAGTATTTTTAGCAGTGCGCGCACACCACCTCTGAGCACACGTCAGCCCATCTGTGGCTCTCACCCACGCGGTGCCGGGGGGACAGCCGCAGGCCACCGGCACGCCGCAGCCAAAAGAAGTGATACCGAGGCGAGAATCCGTCCTCTACCGGCCACCCTGCGAGGCGGCGGGGCGGGGGCTGCGAAGTGGCTGAGGAGAGGCGTGGGCGGTGTGCTGAGGGGAGGCGAGGCGGGGCCGGAGCGCCGAGGGGAGGGGAGGTGCGGGCGGCAGCGGCCGGGGCGCTGGGGCGGGGGAAGGACTGGGGCTAAATGCGGCGGGACTGCCGTGGCCGGCACGGTCCCCGCTCGACGGCCTTAGGCCCTTTCCGCGCCCCGAAGCTCCCCCTCCTCCACCACGTGCAGCATTTTCCCGGCGGGGAGCAGCAATCCCAGCGGGCACTGCCCGTCCTCTCCGCTGCCCGGAGCACTTCCAGCCCTCACCCCGCCCGGCCGCCCTAGCTTCCTCCGGGCGTTTTGCTTCCCACCTGCACTCTCCTTATGTAAGGCAGGATCTGATGGGCAGCGGGGAGGGGGTGTCAGGGCGCACACGCACTCACACACACACAGACAGACATAGACATATGCACACATACACGCAGCATCCCTCCGCGGCCGCTCCCGTGAGGATGCCGATACCTTTTATCCAGGCACGCGATCCACTCGCCGGAGGACGCGGAATGGGAGGTGTGAGCGGCGACCATGTTGGACAGGGCTCAGGTCGCCGCGCACCCGGCTGGCTGGCGGCTCCCCCTGCTCGCCCGCCGGTCGGTCGGTCCGTCCGTCCTCCCTCCCTCCCTCGCTCGCTCCCTCCCTCCGCGCACGGCGCGATGGGCTCGCCCAGGCCCCGCCGCAGCCGCGGTGCGAGTCCGCCCGCCGCCCTCCCGCCCGCGGCCGCGCTGCCACCGCAGCCGCCGAGCCTCCCCCGGCCCTGCGCCCCCGCAGCTGTCGGGGAGCGGCCCGGGGAGGGGGCGGAAAGAAGTCACTCCCCTCCTGAGAGGTGTTGTCGTCCCCCTTTGGCTTTCGCCAGCTCCCCAGTGCGCACACTTGAGCCCGGCTCACCGGTCCCTGCCCTTGCTTCACCAGAGATGTCCTTGACTGGGTTTGGAATGGGGAGGGGAAATACAAGCTTTTTAATTAAAATAGCTCAGGAGTATTTCAGCAGCACTCCAGATCCCTGTGTGTCTGTCCCCCCAGCAGTAAACACATGGTGAGCGAAAGGAAGGTGCAGTCCACATTCCAGGATTTTTCCTGAAGCCTTCCTCCAACCTTCTATCCATAGTCATTGCCCATGAAACTGTGTCCTAAGGCCTCTCGTTTAATGTAGGTGAAAAATGAGCTGGGCAGTGTAGCCTGTGAATAGGATTTACCACTTGGAAGGAACCCAACACAGAGCATGAGAAAGGTGAGTCTAGTGTACAATGAAAACTACCCACACCCTTCTTTTGTCATAGTGTGACCTGCAAAGTGCAGGGGTTTTAATGATTTAAGAACTGATGAACAGAGGAAGGAATGCAGAGCAGCAGGTCTCCTTGTTTTGCAAATTTCTAAATATTTCCAATGAAATATTTCAGGATCTAGATAATAACTTCCCAAGTAATCAGTGTATGACCATAAGCTTCTGCATACAGTCAACACAACTTGCCTTGAGTACCGTGGGAGAAGGGTAGGAGGCTGTATAAATATCAGCAGGACGTTAGAGGTTTCATGTGGATGACAGCAAAGTAAAACTCAAACTGCGCCTTCCTTCAGGCTCATAACTCCTCTCTGCTCTACAGAGGGGGGGACAAATGATTAATTCAGATGGTGAGCATCTGCCAGTGCCTTTCACAGTTCTCCATGAGCTATCTTCTCTGCTCTCTGTTGAAATTTCTTTGGCTGTACGAAGTGTAATTTTCTTACATACATGTGCTACTTCACATTTCACATCTGCCTTTTAATTGGCTGCATTGCTGCCACAGCTTCTTTAGCACTTTAGCAGAAATAAATGTTAACATTGGGATACTGAACAGTATGATGTAAAATCTAAGGAAATGTATCTAAAAATCACTTTTGTGCTAAATGGATACAGCTAAAAAATTGGCATAGCAGAGGAGAATGCCAAAAAAGGCAATTCTTTCATTTTGCTTCAAAAAAAAAAAATTAAAGTGCATGCCAGAGGAATAGAAGAGGCTGCCAGTCAGTGAGATCAAAGCAGCAGCTCTTCCTCTGCTATAGCCCATGGAGGAAAAAAAAAATGAGAATTTTTTGCATCTAAGCAGTCAATCTACTCGAGGAAAATCAATGCTATTCATTCGTCAATATGCAAGTGTTTGAGAGCCAATAGGAAAAGAGCTTAAAAGGTAAGAAACTCTAAAATTCTCAATCAAATTAACGATTTATAACCCAGTATGTACATTACAGATGAATCAATAAAGCTGACTAATTTTGTACCATTATAAAACATTCATCGCGTTATTCCACATAATCACAGCTTTCCTTCCAGAGCCATCACACAAAGCAGCCCTTACCGCCCGTTCTCCCCTCAGCCCAGTTTAGGCTGCAGCAGATGCACTTTCCACTTAACTGGCCGGAGAAGGATCCCAGAAGTACATCCTGGCTGAATGCCTTACCTTTCCTCACGGGCTGCTGGGCGGGCAGGAGCAGCAGGGCCCGCACCGGGCAGGGCCGGCCCCACAGGGCGCCCTCAGGCACCGCCCCGGCCGCCAGGGGGCGGGCGAGGCCGCGCCGGGGGCGCCGGCCCCGTCAGCGCCCTGGGAAGCGGGTGGAAGGCTGGGCGGGAATATTCCTGGGGAATGCTTTACCGGGATGGGGCCTGTGAAAAACCTGTGTCCGTGCTCATGGACCCACCCGTGACCGAGCAGCCTGCCTGCCCTGGGACAGCCCTCTGCAGTTACCAGTGCTTTTGACTCCAGGGAGTGCAAGGCCTGTCGGCACGAAGCGGGTGTGGCTCAGGTGCGTGGCTGTGGGCAGACACCGCTCAGAGAGGTACCTTTCTGTGGAGTAACGATTAAAAGAGAGTTTAACACTTCGTGGATTGTGTAGACAGGCCCAGAGTAGGAAACCCTGGTGGGAATTAGGAATCCTGGATACATCTATACTTCATTTAGAAGTGTCCCAGTTAGAAAGCAATTAGAGCAAGACAGCCAGAATTGTCTCTGTATTATGAGTAATCATGTGGCTATCTGATTAAGACAAGGGTGAAACTTCTCAGAGAAACTTCTCAGAGAAGCAGTGAATAAATAATTGATGGGTACAGATATCAGCCTTTGTCAACCAAAGGGTCTCCAAACTGCACAGAAATGTCAGGAGCTCCTGACTACTGAAGTCAGAAATCCTGGACCCCAGGTCAGTGCATGTTCTCTTGAGATAAAAGGTGCCAAATAAACATTATATATCTCGCATGACAAGTCAAATCAAATGCAGATTATCCTGTGACTCTTAAGAATTCAAACCATAACAAGCCTAGGTAACGTAATTTTAGAGTATTTGCCTTATGTTAATGGGGTCAAGTGCCCATTCACTTGGGGGAGCATATGCTAGAAGGAAAATGCTGAAACACACTTCATTAGTTTGTACCTCCTCTTGGTGCCTCACAGTGTCCGTTCTTCATTACTCTTGTAAGGTATACACTTGCATGACAAAAAGGTGACCCAAGAGGATATTTGAGACCCAGGAATTGTTAATGGCCAAAAATTCACTTGTGCTCAGTCTCACCTGTATCTACACATGTCTTCTATTACACCTTTTATGAAGTTTCACCTGAGAAAACATGCAGGACTGTGCGTCATTAAAACGACTGGTGGTTGGAAAATCCCTGTCTCAGAAACAAAACCTTTTTATCAGCATTTGTGAAACTCCACAGTGATGATTCTCATTCAATTTCTCCCAGCTGAACAGAAGGCTAATGGGAATTTTTAGAATCTGATTTGTGAGATTTGATTATGCAGCCAAAAAAATTAAAATGGCAGCTGCTTTCAAAGAAGACTGCTGCTGGGAAATGGATAATTTTCAGCAGAGGTATGTGAAAGATCAACTGGCCTTTTAACTTTCCCCAGTTTATGAAGGAGTGACAGAGCCATGCAGAAGCCCTTAAACCACAGAAAAACAGAAATCATCCAGACCTCAAGTTTTCTCATGCTTGTAAGACTAAGAGTTCAAATGTGTAGGGTCCAAATTGTTGTTTGCATTATGGGACATAAGGCAAATCATGTTGAATTCTTGAACCAAAAGACTAAATCATAGTTATTAGAGCTTGAAAAAAATTACTAAATATGTTTATTATGATTACACAGTAACAGGATACAAAGGAGGCCTGCTGTGGAAACCTCTTTATACCACTAATTATACCAAAAACTATAAGAGGTTTCAAGTAACTGCAATAATAATAATGTTAAAACAAAGGGCAGTAGGGATTGCCTTATTTTCTATGGCAGTTTTGGATGCTATATATGGTAGCCCATACTTAAGAAATTAGTTATGATATAGGGACACATTAGTGGTCACAGAATCTATAACCTACCAATTAGCATCATAAAGTGATTTTAATTTCAGAGCAAACTCACAAAAAAACTCCAGAAGCTCAGACCTCAGTTTTGGCCATTTATGTTCAAGAGAATACCTGGGGGAAACAGCTGGTTTCCAGCCACCAATGAACTCCTCTGATTCCTATGTCTGTGGAAGTGGTGCTCAGCCTCAGGACTCTTCTAGTCCAAGCTGACTGTACTGAATATAATTGATAGCACGAGGCATTTACTTCATCCTTTGTCCCTAAAATACAACTGGGACACAAGGATAAGATAAGGCCAGCTCCGCAAGCTTCAAAACATTTAAGATTTCCTTTCTCTAGAGAAACTCAATTTTGTCACTTCAGCTGATTTAAAGCGTGTTTTGTGTTGTCCTATGGAAGCCAATTTAAATAGTTTAAGTTCAGAATGAGCACATAAATTCTACCTCAAGCAATAGTTTAAATTCATGTATCACTCAGGAGTTTTGGAAGCAAGATCGAGACTGACAGAACTGTGATCCTTGTTTAAAATACAGCAGTGCCACATTCAGTGTGGTTAGAGTTGTAAGAACCAAAGTGTATTACCAGTTGTACACACACAGCACCTACGGACTTCAAAGGAGTAATCAGGATATAGTGGAATAAAGACGGAGAAACCTGCATGTGAGTTCTTTTGGGATTTGGCTGCTGGGGGAGCTGCAAAAGATGTGATGACATACAAACTTTAAACCAGTGCATGTATTAATAAAAGTGTCCTGTAAAGCCTACAAGCAACCGATTCTCCTTTCCAATGCTAATCGTTAAACCCAACGTACAATAATATAGCAAAGGGGGTTTTAGAACAAGTAGGGACTTCCTTTCCACATTGACTTCCTGTATCATTCCATGTTTTCTTTTTCTTTCTCCTATTCTCCTCACTAATTCAGGGCAACTCTCCAGTTCCCTTCCAAGCACCTTCTTCAGAAATTCCACTGCACCACAAGCCATTTCCCCCATAATTCAGGAAGCCCACCACACTTCTTATGATAGTTCTACCAGGATATTCTCACAAATAGGTCTCAGAGTTGCCAAGAACAAAACAGATACAAGTGAGATAGATATGGACAACCAAGCAAGAAACAGATATACTGGAAAGAAAACATACAATGTCTTATATAGAAGGCGTAGCATAAGCACAGGTGCAAGGCAGAGAAAATACAGCTGAGTTGATATTTATATGAATTGATAAAGTTTAGATTCTAGGCTCTTTAAAATTAGTTGGTAGTTTGCTCCTTTTTTCAGCAGGACAGAACTGTTTCCTAAATTCCTGAAAGTAAAAGAGTTAACTGGACTTATAGCATCTGTCCAATTTATAAAGGCCTTACAAGTTATGAAGGTTTTCTGAACAGTAAAGGATTGATTGTTCACTGTATATAGCGTTGTGTTCTGCGTCATTTTACCCATCCTTATATGACATTGTTCTTCCTAATGAAGTAAACCAAAAGCATTGTCCATATCACAGTAAGAGCCAACATGATAAGTATTAAGTCTATACTCCTTGAAATAAAATACTCTCAAATTCATAGCATGAAATGCCATGAGTCCATGTTACATTTCTCATTAGGAAACCACGAGGCAGAGCAATCCCCTTTGTATTATTACTTGGCAAAGGTTTAGCAGCATGCTGCACAGAAGTGCTATAAACATTTTTCTGTTTGAAGACTGATATCAAAGCCTTTCTGTGGAGTCACATTTTGAACAGATGGTCATTTGATTTGCACACCTGAAATCTGGGCCCATATCCTGAGATTAATTCAGAAAAGACTCAGAGAAACCACACAGAAATAGGCTTCAAATTGTTAACGTTAACAACATTACAGGTGTGCATAGGTTTCATATTTTCTGTTTAACTACTTTCT